AGGGGGAGAATCAGGGGAGGCTTCCCAGAGGCGGAGACAAATGCTTGACCTTTAAATCACTGAATGGGGAAGTGACTGATTGGAAGGCTGTGCTGGCTGACTGTGTGCTGTGAGGAAGAAGCAGGAGAAGTGACTGACTCTGGACATGGGGTGGCTTTGTGGTGGCCATTGTGATACCCACTCGATGGTGATTTGCGTCGTCATCCTTCTTTTGGGCTGTAGGCAGGGTACAGTTCTGGGACCCTGATGAGTTTTCACTTTCCTCCCAACTCCGCTCCTCCTTTCATCCTCCCAGGGTAAATCTGTGATAGGCCCCATCCTGGCCTACGACCTGTCCTGGCCACCGGCCTACTTGTGGCCACCCATCTGCCTGTGCATTCACCTCTAAGAGTCCCTGGGGGCCAGCTGTGTACCAGGGGGGCAAGAGCAGGCCACGAGGAGGTAGCATGGCAGAGGATCAAGCTTGTTCTGGGGCAACAGACCTGATGTGGATTTTGTAAAATACCTGTTTTATCTTCCTCCCCTTTTCTGGCCTTGAGCTCCTGAAATTCTTGAATCTTCAAGATTGTCGATATCTTTTGTATGCTGATGAGCTGGCGGCAGTCCTTGGGTGGCTTCAGCAGAGGAGGTGCCCACAGGAGACCAGTGTAGGATTAGAGAGCTGTTGTTTGACTCTATCTCCAGCTTCCTGGGAGCGGTGAGGGGCTGAGGGTTAAGTTGATCAAGTGGGCCAAGGATTCAGTTGATTGTGTACCTGTAAGGAAGCCTCCATAAACTCCAAGAGGAACAGGTCTGGAGAGCTTCTGGGCAGGGGGACACTTGGAGGTTCCAGGAGGGGAGAATGCCCTGTCCCTTCCTACATGCCTGGCTGTGTGCAGCTTATCCCCTCCAGACCTGTGCTGGGAGATTTCTTCACTATGAACACGTGGATGTTGCTCTTTCTGAGTTCTATGAGCTGCTGCCGGAAATGAACCAAAACCAAGGAGGGGTAAGAATCCTGACTTGGTCCTAGTTGATCAGGAGCACAGGTCAGACACCTGGGGAGGGGGCAGTCATGGGGCTGAGCCCTCCACTTCCTGGATTGGATACTACCCCAGAACTGAGTTAGATTGGAGGATGCCTAGCTGGTGTCTTCTGCAGAACTGATCGTGTGTTTGGGCCCTTCCTAAACCAGTTTGTCCACAGGGGTGGTCTGTGTTATACTTGGACTTTTCCTCGATATTGAGCTTGGACTTTTCTTCAATATTCTCAGACCTGGTTTCCAATCTCACCTCTAACACCTAATGTGCTAATCAGGTGTGGTATCACACATCAGTATTCCCAGCCCTAGAAGGCTGAGGCAGGAGGATCATTGTGAATTCGAGAACAGACTGAACTACATGGCAAGACCTTGTGTTAAAAAAAAAAAAAAATCCCAAATCAAAACAAAACATCCTAATGTGCTGTGTGACAAGTTGCTTTACATCTTTTTTTTTTTTTTTTTTTTTTTTTTTTTTTTTTTTTTAATGTCTTTTGTACAGGGTCTTACTAGGCAGCTTGGACTCGTAATGACTCCTGTTTCAGCCTCTCCAGCACTGGGATTACAGGCATGCCCCACCATGCCTGGTTTGTTTGTTTTGTTTCATGAGACAGGGTCTTGCTATATAGTTCAGGGTCTTGGACTCATTACATAGCTCAGGCTGGCCTGGAATACAAGGCAATCTTGACTGTGCCTCCTGAGTCCCAAGTATAAATATCCAACACTTTGGTTTGTGTCATCAAGTAGGGAGGAATTGTCAGGTTCCCTATGAAATATACAATGTAATGTATATAATTAGCAAAATATCCTTTTTCATATTTTACTTGTTAAATCATTTTATGAAATAACACAGGAAGCCCACACTTAATATTAAATGAGAAAACTCCTGTCACAGTACATGCCTGTCTTTGTAGGCACACACGTGTAAGTAGGCTGGACCACTGCTATTGGTAATGGGTGTATTCTACTCACGAGTTGCAGGAGTACATGTGGGTATTTATTTATTTATTCATTTTTAATGTGCTTGGTACAGGGTCTCACTGCGCAGCTCAGTCTTGTAGTGATCCTCTTGTTCTCAGCCTCCTCAGTGCTGAGATTACAGGTGTGAGCCATCACACCTGGTTCGGGTGGCTGGCTCAGCACACCTGGTTGGGGGGATGGCATGGCATGTGGTGCTGGGGATTGAACCCCAGTCTCTGTGCTTGCCTAAGTGGTGCCTAGTCCATTGAGCTATCTTGCCAGGCTTCCATGTGGCTTTTGATCATGACAGGTGTGAGAGGTGGAATTAGCACGTCACCCTCCCTGCACAGCCTTCCATCATCACCTGTGTAGTCTTTGCTCAAGCACAGTGCAAACAGGTCATGAAAAAAAAAATCACTAAAATCCTGCCTCAAAGTTCAAAGTTAAAACTTACTATTTTGTGAAGCCAAATTATGAGTTGTCCAGGGCTAGATGCAGCGTGTGAGTGAAGGATTGGACATATCTTTCTTAGAGCCTCAGTTCCTTTTTTTTTTTTTTTTGACAGGATCTAACTCTGTAATTCTGGTTGGTTTTGAGCTCAGTGCATAGCTTAGGGTTGGCTTGAATTTACAGACATCCTCCTGTCTCAGCCTCCTAAGTTCTGGGGTTATAGGTGTGTGCCAACCATGGTCTGCCCCATGATTCCTTCATAGGCAAAAATCACAAACACTAATGCATTTAGCAAGAATATAAATGTCATCCATCAAGTCAGGTATGGTGGTGCACGCCTATAATCTTAGGACTGAGAAGGCTGAGGTAGGAAGATGGTTGTGAGTTTGAGGCCAGCCTGGGCTACATAGTGAGTTCAAGGCCAGCTGGAACTATGTAGGAAGCAATAGTTAGTATCTCTTAGCTACTGGCCATAGTGGATCCAAGTAGGCCCCAGAAGTTCATTTCTATGTCCTTGTTTTTTCCTATATAGAACTGTCTAATCCTTACTTGACCTTGGGACAAGTGCAGAAATCAGTAGAGATAAGGGAGAGTGGAACATTAACTTACTGCAGGTGGCAGGAGGGGAGAAATCATGGAAGGCTTCCCAAAGAGGAAGGCATCTGAGCTAGTCTTGAAGGAGTGGCCCCAGGTGATGCCAGGATAGAAGAGGAGGTGTGTGGGGTTGGCAGGCTGTGGTGATAGGGATCACAGAGGTGAGTGGTGGAGAGGCGGTACCTGAGAACTGAGGCTGAAGTGCTGGGCTGGTGGGACTGGACCTGTAGCCTATAGCCTGGGGATAGACTTGGGCACTGGGGTGCCACAGGTGACAGCTACTAGGAAAGAGATGATGTGGTAAGCTGAGGCTCTGGCTTGGGAGAGGTGAGGGCTTTTATGGTTAGGAGGTGAGTGTGGCCAGCTCCCAGGTCCTTGCTGCCCACAGGTCACAGTGGGCCTCTGGGCTCCTGCGGCTGGGCTGGGGCAATGTGGGAGTCCTACTTGTTAGCCCTGCCATCCCCAAGCCCAGCACCAGTCCCTGGCTTCCACATTTGGGGCAAGAATATTGCCCCATTCAGCCTTTGTTACTGAGAACTTAGCTGGCCCTCACCCAGGCTCTCCTATGGTGATGGGGGCAAACCCCCACTTGGCAATGACAAGGAGGACTCTAGTTTCTTTGGAACTGTGGGACACCATTGAATCTGACCCTGCAGCCCAAGAATTGCTCAGCACCCCAGCCAGGTTGGGGTTAGAGAGGCACAGTACCATTCCATCTCACCAGCTACCAGACCAGGGCCTCAGACAATGCTCAGAGGTCTATTTCCTCGCATTTCCCTGTTGTGGGACTCTGTGCACGTGGCTTAAGGTCACGTGCCACAGTTTCTTCATCTGTTAAGTGGGATAACAGCAACCTCATCGAGTTAGGTGACATTAAACAAGAACTTTAATGCTCAGCCAGGTAAACCCCATCATTTTCACTAGTGTCATTGTCACCATCATCACAAAGAGCTCTGAGAGTCCCCAGAGGCCTCTGTTGGTGTATACCGGTTCCCAAGGACAGGGTCCTGTTTTGCTCTCCTTCCTCCCCTGCCCTGTCACAGTGTCCTGCTGTCCTTAGAGATAAGCTAAGTTGGGGCCCCTTGGGGCGGTGGGTGCACTAGCTCGGGAGGCCTGGGTACAGGAGGTGGGAGGGCTCCGGGTCTGTGCTGGGCTCCTAGATAGCCGTGACTCTGCCTGTTGGCAGTTGTGGCAGTTCTGTGCACTCCAGTTGCCCCCTTGCCAGGTGGGGCACTAATTCGAGAGCAGAAAGAGCCATGTTTGGGAGCAGGCACTGCCTCTAGGACTCCCCTCATCTAAGAAGGAAGCCATGGAGCCCTGCCTGCTTCTCCCTCTACCCTGACTCCTACTTCCGCACACTGACAGTGTTGGTTATAATCTGCAATGCAACTGGAGTGAGTTTGTGTGTGTGTGTGTGTGTGTGTGTGTGTGTGTGTGTGTATGTGTATGTGTGTACATATACGTGTGTGCACTCAGGTGTGTGCAGGCATGCACTTGTGCACAGGTGCAGGGGAGCCCTGTGAGTGTGGCTTTGGGTTGCCCCTGCCACTCCCCAGCCCAAGGGCTACCCTGTAGCTTTAGTGGCTGCCCATGGCTCTGTAGGCGTGAGGCTTTGTGGTCGCTCTGAGGGCAGGGTCACACCCATTGCTCCCATCCTAGGGTCTGATCCAGCATTAGGCCACACAGATGGCATGATGGGAGGTGTGACTGCCACCCCCCAAGTGAGCAGAGGGGAGCCCTGCCCATCTCAGGACCTTAGGCCACTGCAGTAGCTGAGGGGCAGGAACCTGCCCTCTCTTCCAGGGAGGGTGGGAGGGAAACCCAGCTTGTAGGGTCCAAAGTGGGCTGGTCAGCCTGGGTAGGGCAGAGGCTGCAGCCCAGCAGATGCGGCTGGGTTGGGGGCCACCTACGTGGAGTGGGGTGATGGGCACCCAGGTGTCAGACGTCACTAGTAAGCACTTTACATCTCCCCCTCCAGGCGTCCTTCTGGACATCCAACAGCACTTCGGGGTCAAGGACCGAGGCGCAGGCTTGCTGCAGTCAGGTGAGGCTCCCCTCCCCTCCTAGCTGCCTACCCTGGAGCTGGTTCCTTGAGTCCCCTATTATTTTCCTCAGGTCTCTCTCCCTGGTCCTCACTCTTGGAATGAGCGAGGGCTTTGCATCTGGGTCCCACCATCACTTCCCACAAAGGGGACTTTTCTGAGCCTCCATAAAACATATACCACCTGCCCTCAGGGGCTGTGGGAGACAAACAGGGGTGCAGGCATAGGACCCCAGCCCACTGGATGTATCCTTCTTTGAGTCCTGAGGTTTCGTGGAGGTCCAGTGATGTGTCCCTTGTTGAACCTGGTGGAGGGAAGTCCTTCCATCAGTAAGTTGGGCGATGCCAGCAGAACCTCAGTGACCCTGTTTCCATCTTGTGCCCTACCCTTCACGCCTTCCATTGCTACCAGTCCTAGGACTCAGCTCTGAGATGACAAAGTGAAGGCCTGAGAACATGGGTCCTGGGCTAGACTCCACCCCCTTTTCCCTGGCACTAAGGGCCTAAGCCTCACTGCGCTGCTAGGAGCTGAGCAGGAGCCATGTGGGAGGCCCTTGAGCAGTTACCCTGGCTTGTCAGCCCCTCCCTCTGGGGAGCAGCCATGTCCCCCTTGTCCCTCCCCTGCCCCGTCTGTGGCCCCACAAGGTAGTGCTCCTGGCTCCCTGGCCTCCGCATTGCCTTTGCCATGCTGACTGCAGTCAACAGCCCTTTCCTGGGCCGGGGTGGAGTCTCAGACCAGTGCCATACTCTGGGGCTGGGACAGGAAGTCTGGCTCTGACTTGGCCTCAGCCTTACTGTAAGACCCCAGCCTGACGCCGCCTGTCTGTGGGCTCTTGGCCCCAAAGCCCCTCTGGCTTTCAAGCCCAGGTCAGTGTGTGGGAGAAGGATATGGTCTTCATTCCAGACTATGGACACTCTTCCCTTCCCAGGGCTATCCTGAGAAGGTGGGGTGGAGGGAGCTGCTCTGTCCAGGAACTTGCCTGACCTGTTTAGGTGGCATTCCAGTATGCACAATGCCTCCTTGAGCTCAGAAAATGCCAAGAGTCAGGCTACTTACCTTTAGATACTTGGTGGGGTCTTTTTGGCTCAGAGAGAGCCCATGTGATATCTCTAGGGCTCAGTCCAAATGAGTGAGACTCACTGGGGTAGGACAAGGAGGTATGGTCCACTGTGCCCCATGGATGGCCCGGTCTTGCCTTGTGGATAGCACCTCTGCCAGATCAGGAGGCTCAGCCCCTCCCTGTCCCTTTCTGGGCCTCCTTGGCTAGGCTTCCTTGGCTGGGCTAGAGTCAGTCAGCCTGCCCTGCATTGCCCCAGGCCCTGCACACTCGGTGACCAGCGCTTACTGAGAAGGTGGGGTCAATGCCAGATGGGAGTGTGGGAGGCAGCTGGCTGCCAAGCTGCTGAAGGAAGAGCAGGGAGACCTCACTGTTCACCGCCTGCCCTGAGTGCCCCTGAGTCACTGTAGACCTGACCCGAGCCTCATCCCCTCTGGTCAAGGCCTTGCTGTCTGATCTAGAGGGAAGCCCTACCCTGAGCCTCCTCCATTCAATCCTCCCAGCACATGGTCAGGGCCACAGTCTCCAGGGAGAGAAAGGGGCACTGGTCCCATGGCAGGTGTGAGGGTCAGCATCCCAGGTCCTTCTGCAGTTTTGTTCTAGGCTGGCTTCTCAGCTGAAGAGAGAGAGTCAGAGTCCTTACTTAATCTGGATTAGCTGGCTAGAAGTGGATGATTATTGTTGGACTCTTTTAGTGAGCCTAGAGCTCCTTTGCTAGCTTCACTGGCCAGATGAGAGAGAGGAAACCAACTTCTTAAGGCCTTCTGGTGAAAGAGCATCAGCCTGAGATAGGAGCCCATAGGAGGCCTCTGCTAGGGTGGACGGGGTTGAGGGTTTGATATCTCAGTGTCCCCAGAGGGGTACCTCTGGGACATAGTGAGAATCCTCAGCACTTGCAAGCTCAGGAGCCCTTAGCCCGTGCTCATTACCCCACCAACCACCTCTGGCACAGCTGGAGCATCTCTCCCCAGCATCCTTAACCCTTCAGTCATCTGAGCCAAGAAGCCAGTCCAGCTAGACCAGGATGTGACTCAGTGGGCAACTAGGCAAGTTGCCTAATTGGCCTAGGCCCCAGACACCTGTCTCTTCCCCAGGCCTGATAAGGTCGGAGCTGAGTTGAGGGCGCCAGCCTGGTGTCGGTGCTTGCCTAGATCAAAGGGGCATGGTGGGAGCAGGCCACCTGCTTATTTGTGGGTACCAGGGACTGTGGGGCCAGGAGACAGGGTGGGAGGGTTGCCTGAGGGCCAGGCTTGGGCCTGCCTTGCTATTTCCTTGGGACCAGCACATAACTGGCTTGGGCAAGGCACACTTCAGCAAAACCTTGCACATCGCTGCCAGCACAGCTCTGACCCCTGGTTTACTCACAGGAGCCACAGCTCAGCCTCGGTGACAGCTCACAGCAAAACCACAGCTCATGGGCTTGGACACACTGGGACCCTGCAGGGCCCACATCTGAAGGGGTAGCTGCTACTGAGCCTGTGGTATCTGTGCTAGACCCAGTCCATCACCGGATAGAGCGACTCTTATCTATAGGAACAAAAACAGATCATCCAGTCACCACTCAGGCATGGAGTGGGGACGAATGTGGGAGGCGTGGCGGGTGGGTGGTGTGGGATGTGTACGTACCTCTGACTGAGGCAGGTGAAGGCTTCCCTGAAGAGGGGAGATCTGAATGGGGTTTTGAAGAATGAGTTAGAGCTTGTTTAGGAGAAAGGACTTCTGGTCAGTTTGTCAGATTTGGAGTTATGAGGAAACCCTTCCCCCTGCTCTCAAGCTAGAAAAATATGGGAAGAAAACATGTTTAAATTACATAGCTGAACTTGAAAGCTAATGCTAACAGGGAAATTCCCAGATGCCAGAAGCAAAGAGCTGACGTCAAAAGCTGGAGTGGAGAATCAAAGCCCAATGATGCAGAAGACTTAGGGATGAAGTCTATGTCTTAGAACCTGTTACAGTATTTTTAATATAAACATTTTTTCATTAAAACGTTTTAAAAGTAGAGAGGACAGCACAACTTGCTCGCATGTGTTCACCACCCAGATTCATTAAAGTTTTTCCAGCCTGGCCCCAATTCCAGGCTCGGGTCTTCTTCACCCTGAGAACTGGGAAGAGCCAACTGGGGTCCTGGGATTCAGACTCCCTCCAGGGTCCAGGCAAGCTCTCTGGTCCCAAGTGGTGCTCAGGTTGCAGTGGGTTTGCGGAGCTCTGGTGTGACTGGGTGGCTCCACTATGCACCTAGCTTCTGTAGACAGCATGGTCCAGGTCGCTGCGCCTCCTCACAGGCTGGGTCCTACGCTGTCCCTGTGGAGGCTGGGCAGTTCAGGGTACCCTGGCAGAAGGAAATCCCAAACTGCCGGGTGGGAAGCCTCATGACCCAGGGCCTGCCTGGGATTCCAGTGACAATTTTCTCTGAAGATAAACTCAAATTCTAAATTAGCAGAGCACAGAGAAAGCTCATCGTTGTGAGAAGGCATTGGCTGGCTCCCAACACAAGCTGAAGAGCCATGGGCTATCGACTCATTTTGTTTTAATTACTTAATTATTATTATTTTTATAGATGCATTTTAGGCAAGTGGTCTACGGCTAAGCTCCGTCCTCAGCCCCCATCTAGCCTTATGTTAAAGGAATTTTAAGATTCAGAAGGTTTAACTTGCAAAGCTCAAAGGAAAAAGTAGGATTCCTAAGATAAGAACAGTGCATTATTTAAAAAAGAAGAAGGAAGAGGAGGAGGAGGAGGTGCAGGAGAAGGAGAAGGAGGAGATAAAGGAGGAGGAAGAGGAGGAGGAGGAAGAGGAAGAAGAGGAGGAGGAGAAGAAGAAGAATAGAAAAGAAAGAAAGAAAGAAAGAAAGAAAGAAAGAAAGAAAGAAAGAACAGGAAAATGTTAAAAAGACCTAAACTCTATAATTCTGGCAGTGAAAAATGTAACTATGAAAATTAAAAAATAAAATAATTAGATCCAGTTGAACAGAAAATAAGCAAATAACCATTCAGATTGGAAGGGATCTGAGTAAATGTAGCCCAGGGAGTAAGAGTGAAGCTGTGCGAGGCCCTGCCATGGCTGGAATGGAGAGCTGGAGCAAAAGAGGGCAGGACCTGCGGCAGATTTGACTGAGAAAGCCCTGAAAGCTGGGTCAAGGCCTCTGAATCTTGTCTTGGGGCAGTGGGAAGCCTGAGAAGTTTTAGAGCAGGGCCAGTCCATGTAAGATGCATGTGCCTTGATGTTGACTCTGGAGCCAAGTGCAGGACGGATGGCAGAGGAGGCTACTCAGGGCTGGGGTTTTGGGGGCTACAAGGAAGGGCCAGGATTAGAGTGGGGGGGAGGAGGACGGCGGAAGAGCCATCTCAGACTGAAACCAGACAGTGTCTCTGCTTTGGGGATCTTTCTGGCCTTCCCTCTCCCCTTGGCAGCTTAGTGACATGCTTGCTTTGGGCAGACTTGGAATCCCCTGTGGCTCTCCTCCCAGGGCCCTGCTCTGAAGGAGGCCCAAGAACCTTATTCCTTCTGTGCTGGAGGGGCCAACACAGGGCTACAGACGAGGGGGTATACAGGGAGGTGCTCCCCACTCTACCTGCAGGCATCTGAGCATGGTGGGCTTCCATGCACTGGCAGGACCCTCTATCTTGGGTCCTTCCCATCAGCTGGACTGGCCTGAATTGTCCCTTGGACAGCAGAGCCTGGTCTGTGCCCACCCTGCACTTGCCTGAGCATCGTCCCTGCCACAGGATGTGGGCAATCGTGAGTCTTCCCTAAATAACAGGTCAGCTGGAGCCCGGACTTCATAAAAATAACCCTGTTTCAGGCCCGGACTGAGCCCAACCTGAGGCAGGGGCCGAATGCCAGCTCCAGGGTCACAGCATGAAGCCTAAGGCTCCCCCTTTTCGCCCTTGCCTCTTGCTCCAGAACCATCTTCTGGGGTCAGATTGGACACGTGTTGGCACAGGTGGCAGGATGGAGGCCTGGGCTGCCTATCGGGCCATAGAGCTCCTGGTGGGGTAGTGTGGGACTTCTGGCTGCTGCTAGAACCTTGAGCTCTGGGACTACAAGGGCTGGACAGCACCTCAGGCATGTCTTCCTGTTCCTGTCCTTCTGATGGCCTCAAAACAACCCTGCGAGGGGGAGGGAGTGAGGCTGGGTGCCCAGGTTCCCACCTCCACAGCTAGGCTGTTCCAACTCCACACACCTTGTCTGCGACCCCTCCCCCATCCCCCCATCCTGGCTTCTTGCCCCACAACTCCATTGTTCCAGACCTGTGGGCTCAGCACACGTGAGCTGAGCAAGGGCTTCCCCACACCCCAGCCACAGGATGTCCTCGTGCATGCGAGAACTTCTGGGAAAGCCACCCCTACCAAAACCCGGGTGGGGCAGCCAGTCTGGCAGCAAGCTGTCCTCAAACAACAAAGACCACACAGGGTTGGGGGAGGTAGACAGGGGAAGCTTCTAGCCTGGGCTGGTCTTCACTGCCTGCAGAGCTGGCTGCTGGCTGACTGGGCCTCTGGTCCCCCATCAGATACGGCCACACACACAGGCCTTTCTTGTGCTCCTCCACCTACCAGGAGCACCCCTCCCTCCTCTTTCTACCTTGACTGTGCCCAGGCCCCTTTGCTGTTCTGTGAGAGAGATGCCAAGGGCCTGGAGGGTTCCTCTCTGCTGCATGCCCTGAGTGGGGTAAGGGGATGCGACCACAAGGTGAAGCCTATCTCCCTCCCAACCCTGGACTCCTCTGTCCCCAAGGAGAAGGCACTGAGTGTCACACAGGGGCCCAGGTCTCTGCATGACTTGCTGTGTTACCTGTGGTAAATTCCACTGCCTCTCAGGCCTCTTTATGTCCCTAGTGTGCTTTTCCAAGTGCTCCCCTTTGTTGGGGTACAGCAGGCCACACTGTGGTCTAGAAACCAAACCTGGGCCTGGCTGTTAGGGCTCAGTCTGGCCCCATGGCCTTGTTTCTGCTCTTCCATGGTCTTCTCATGCTGCAGCCTGATCCTCTTCCTCGCTGTCCCCAGCACACCCTGACCTTCCACTGACCTTGGGAACATCATCTGGGACCTTTTGCCTCCCAGTGCAGCAATGTGATCTAGAGCAAGCACTCTGGACTGCCAATCAGTGTTTGTGTCCTGGCTCAGCTCCACACTCACTGTGACATCACTTCATTCAGCCACTATGGTCCTCGCTGTAGGATGAAGATTATAGTAAGAGTCATTATTAAGAGATAATCAGTGCATGTGCCACGGGCGCTTCCCTGGGCCTTGCCTTTATGAGTGCTCTATAAAGGATAATTGCAAGTATAAAGCATCATGCCTCATTACCCATTATATAGTACCACTTACAAGATTTGGGATTTCCATTTTATTATTGATTTTAAGTAGTACTATTACTGTGTAAACTCCTGAGCATGCCTCAATGGCCACCTTTGACGTTACTCTCTCCATGAGGTCCTTCTCTCTCCAGCAGGTTTTGGTGCTCCTTGCTTATTCCCCAACATTTTAACTTTTTAAGCTGGGTAACCCACGGATGTTCTCTGTTCCCCAACAGGGAGACAGGGAACAGCATGTTGTCCTCTGGATCTGTCCTCCCCTACCTTGCACAGGCAGGTTCACTGACAGGTGCTTGTTGTCTTCTTCCCCCTAACACATGTGAGTTGGGATGTGACCGATCACTCTTCCTGCCCAGATCCCAGTGTGATCTTGGGTGGGTCCTGGGAGGCAGGTCCAGCAGGAAAACATTCTTTCTGTTGACGTGAGGCAGTAATATCCACCTTGCCTAATGCAAACAGGGTGCGTGGTTGAGCGGGGCCCCAGCTGTGGATGGGGTGTGGTCTGAAGCATGTGCCACATGTTAGCTCATCTAGTACTGGAGCAGCCCAGGGGAGTTGCTATTTTTATCTTTGTTTTACAGATGAGGAAGTTGGCATGCTGGAGCTGGCTGATACTAGCTCAGGAGAGTCAATTGTTAAATTTTCAGGAGTTGTGTGAGCTGCTTGTTAGACAAAGCCATTGTTAAACACAAAATTACATATACTTACAATTAAATAATTCATATTTAAAAAGGAAATACATACTCACAATTACCGCTTTCTAATTATTTTACTATGCCCGGCTAGTATCTACGTTCCTAGGGTTGATCCTATTATTTGGCCTGAGCAGTAGGGATCCTCTCAGCTCCCAGCAGTAACATCTCATGGTGGCCTGACCTCTGCCCCAGCAGGAGGGTTTGCACCTTGCAGATCAGCGAGTGCTCCGCATAGGTCTCCTCTGCCGCCTTTACAGAGAACCAGTTGTTGTGCATTTACCAGCGCGCCCCTGAAGCTGGGACAGAGGAAGGTTGGGACGTGGACACAGTTGCCCATCTAGGAAGGTACAGAGGTAGACTTATGCCCAGGCAGCGTGTCACTGGTGCTCTACCTCTGTGCTGATTCTGCCCAAGTCCCCAGATCACACAGAATTAGGTTAGCGGGGCCCCCACCTACCCGGCCACCTGCCTGCCCTGCTCTGGCCTGGATAGAGGAATACAGTCACACTTTTTCTGCCTCGTCCAGGGCACCCCTGTTCCGGTGCTCTGTTCCTCCTTGCTCCCCTGTCTCTTTCTCTTCTCTTAGTGTCATCTCAGGAACTCAGGTCCACAGGGGGAGTGGTCAAGCCCACGCGCATGCCCAGCCTGACGGTCAGAGGCCAGCCGGACTAGCCGTCTGCCCACCCCCAACCCTGCCTTTGTCTGGCCATCTGCCTGTCAGCTGTAGGACTGGCTTCCGGGGAGGCTGCCTCGCTATGCGACTCAGGGGCTGCCTTGCCCTGTTCTAGGCCTCCTCATCCACCTGGGGCCTCCAAGTCCCCTCCCATCACTGATAGGGGCCTTCGCACAAAGTCTTGTAAGACCATTGCTTTCCTGCTGCAGAGGAACACAATCAAGTCACGTCTCTCCTTTCATTAGCATCCTTTATTACTCTCCTTCTTTATCCATGAAGCCACACTAGGTATAGTGGGCCATGAAATCCTACCCCATCTGCCGTCTCATCCTTGTCTGCTACCCCTTTCCCTCTCCATTCCTTCGCTCCAACTACTCTGGCCTCTTTGCTGTCACAAAACATGCTAAATGTGCTCCTGCCCCGGGACCTTTGCACTTGGTGTTCTCGCCTCAATATTTGCATGCCTTTTTCTTTTACTTTTCCCAAGTCTGGCCCTCATGTGTGAAAACACAACATCTGCTCTGTCAGTCTTATACACAGACACTGTATGTTTCTTATGTCCTGTTTCGGATCTTTTACCTTTCTTTGCACCTGTCACTACCTGATGCACTATGCTGTTTACTTGTAGTCTGTTTGTGCTCACTAGAATGAAAGCTCTGCTATGGCCAGGAATTTAGTTTATCTAGATAACAGATGTCCCCCTAACCAGAACATGCTGTATGGTGCACTGTAGGTGAAAAAAAAATGGCCAAATGGATGGGCAGAGGAGTGAATGAATGACATCAGGGTTTCTAGCTGTCAGGAAAATCCCTGAAGCTCCTGGGAGCCAGTGTGCCTGTGTGCCAGGCAGATAGTTTTGGGTCCAGTTCTGTCCTGCTGTGCTCTGTGACCTTAGGGAGAGTCTTTTCCCTCTCTGAACCTCTCTCCCATGTGTAATAAAGATAACAATGTGCAAAAGTCAGAGAGCTATGGCGTCAGACAGACAAGTGGTCAAATTCCCACTGGGACATTAAATGTCTGGGGGATGTCAGCAAGTCACTCCCTCTGTCCATGTCCTCTGTGAAGTAGGCAGTGGGCTGGGCAGGTACATGAGGTACTGTGGTGACCCCCACTGTTTCTACTTGGCATGTAGAAAGTGTTCAAGGAGACCCCTAAAGTGGACAAGTTGGGTGAGCATGGAATAGGTGGCGTCATGGTATCACCCAAACCCGGGAAGGCCTCGCCTACCTGCTCAGTGCTGGCCCACCTAAGGATGCCCATCCCTGTGGCTGCTTCCTCCGTTCCTGGGCCAGGCTGAGGTTCACACCACAGGCACGTGCCCTCAAGCCTGGGTTGAATAGGTCCTTGGGCCTGGTGCAGGCAGCCCTGGCCGCCTTTGCAGCTCTCCTCTCCCTGCAGTCTTCATCTGCAGCTTCATGGTGGCTGCCCCCATCTTCGGCTACCTGGGGGACCGCTTCAACAGGAAGGTGATCCTCAGCTGTGGCATCTTCTTCTGGTCGGCAGTCACCTTCTCAAGCTCCTTCATCCCCCAGCAGGTGAGCCCCACCCTGCAACCCACTGGTCCCTGCTCTTCCTGTCCCCGTGTCCCTGTCCCAGGTGGGTGGCTAGTCTGTTTCTCTAGCTTGAACCCCTGACAGTGCCTTCCCAATGTAGAAGGACACTGGTGGTGCCCTCGGGTGCTTCTGTAAAGCAGCCCTATAGAAAGGGCCTTCTCCATGCCATCTTTTACCAGTACCTTACAGCCCTGGGTGGCATCCTCACTCTTTCCAAGCTACCCTCTGACTTGGGCAAGATGCAAGTCTGGCCTAGGAGTGAGAACCTTGACTTGTAATCCTGGCCGTGTGATTATCTTGCCCTGTGGACCTCAGGGAGTCCCTACCCCTCTCTAGTTCTTGTTTACTTTGACCTTTGATGAGCAGCTAAGGCCTTGGGCCTAAGTCCCAGGGAGACAAGCATCAATTCAACATAAAGATATTTCTTACGTGGCTCTTAAAGTCCTGGGTCTGAATATTCCAACTCTGTTGCCCATTCATCTTTATGACCTAGAGAAATGCACCTAGTCTCTCTGAGCCTCAGTCTCCTCATTGTTAAACTGGGGGTAATGCTTCTCAGCTTGAAGGGTTCTTGTGAGAAACAGCTGAACCAATGAATGTCAAGACCCTGGCACATGGCAAGTATTTAACAAATCTTTATTTCTTCTTTCTTTCAAAGAGGAGCTATGTTGCTTTGTGTGGGTAATGAGTTTCCTATTGCTAGGAGTGTTCAAGAGGGGGGTGGAAGAAGGAGGAAAGAGAACCTAGGTCTGCCCTCAAGAATTTTGAGTCCTGCCAGTCCTTGGGATTCTGGGGGGGAAGACCTGACAGGAGTACCCAACTTGGAGCCTTCAGGACTCACAGTGCTGAGTCCTCCCTGAAGAAAGAGCAGTCTCTTGAAATCCAAGGGTCAGAGACAAGATTGCATGCAAAGCAGGGAGAAGAACTGGGAGGCAAGGCCCTTGGGTAAAGGTGGCACAGGCAGAGGGGCTACACCCATAGGTGCAGAATGGCAGTGCGTAGGGAGGGGGAGGGAGGAGGAAGAGGCTAGAAAGGAAGGCAGGAAGCAGATCACACAGAGCCTTGAGAGCCAGGTCAGGGGACTTTGGCATTCTCCTGGGGCAGTGGGGAGCCCTACAAGATTTTGAAGAAGGATGAGGACCGATCAAATTCCTGTCGATAGAAGGGAGAGTAGAACAGAAGGCAGAGAGCTGATGGGTTTGCAGGTTCATGAAGGAGGGTCAGGCCCACAGGCCCTGGGCCAGGCAGAGTTTGGCAGCCTCAGCAGAAAATAGGAACCGCTAGGGCCTCTTCTCTGCCTCATCCTGACCTCGGTGCTTGGCCCCCTCTGTAAGCTGGGGAGAGGAGCTGAGAAGAGGAAGATAGAAAAGCAGATTGCTCCCCAATACAGTAATTTGTAAAGTCGTTACAACTGTACTCCTTGTTCTGTGGGGGTTTCTGGTGGACCTTGGCAATGTGATTCTGAATTTGGCGGAGAAAAGTCCCATAAATAGCCAAAAACAATGCAAAAAATGACAGTGAAAGGGGATTCACCCTATCAGGCATTCCAAAATAACAGCTACTGAGCCAAGCGTTCTGGTGCGTGCTTGTAATTCCAGCACTCTGGGAGGCTGAGCCAGGAGAATTGCAAATTCAATTCCAGCCTGGGCAATTTAGTGAGACCCTATCTTAAATTAAAAAAGAGCTGGAGATTTTTCTCAGTGTGAAGGCTCTGGCCTCAATCCCCAGTACTACAAACAAACAAAACTCAAAAACAAATGCACAAACGAAGAGACAAAAATCTCCAAAATGGAAACACAGCTATTCTAATTAAAATGGTTGAGGAATAGATGAAGAGATTGATGAAACCAAGCTTCCTTTCTCTGGAGATTGAGTGCAGGATGAAATTACATCTCAGATCAGAGCTGACCAACCCTGTGGGTAAAATAGTTTGACCAGCCACAGTTGTATACACTTGTAATCCCAGCATTTGGGAGGCTGATGCAGGAGGATTGCTGTGAGTTTGAGGCTAGCCTGGACTAGTGAATTCAAAGCCAGCCTCAATTGCATAGTAAGACCCTGTCTCAATAACTCCCCCAAAACAAAACAAAACTCCTGAAAAGAAAAAAAAATGTTTGGTCTATATTTCAAACCATATTGCAAACCATACCGCAACCATATTTCCAGACAGATGAAACTAAAGCCAGAGCAACATCTAAAAATCTGTAACTATAAATCAATAAGAAAAAGACAAATAACCTACTAGAAAAAACAGCAAAGGATAGTTAGAGCCATTCCAGGAGAATACATGTGAATGGCCAATAAATATAGCTCAGCCTCTTGAGTAATCAGGGAAATGCAAATTAAAACAACAATGAGACACCATTTCACACCCATCAGATTGGTAACAATTAAAAAGGCTGACAATACCAAGTGTTATTACAGCTGTGGGGAATCCAGGTCTCAGGAGCGGCTGGTGGGAGTGTAAATTGGTAGAACCTCTTAGATCACAATGGCATATGCGGCTGCAGTTGCAGTTACTCTGGGACCATACAGGGTGGGAGGATTACTTGGTCTTGTGAGTTGGTGACCAGTCTGAACAACATAGTAAGAACCTATCTCAAAAATAAAAAGTAGGTCAGGCATGGTGGTGTCCATCTGTAACCCCAGCGCTGCAGGAGGCTGAGGCAGGAGAAAAGTAAGTCTGAGCCCAACTTAGTGACTTAGGAGGACCTTGTCTCAAAAAAAGAAAGGGCTAGGATATAGCTTAGTGTGTGAAAGCAGTGGTGGCGGGGGGAGGAGGGGAGGTAAAAATAAGAGGAAACAATGCCAATGACCATCACTGGGCTGGCACAGGTAAATGGGGCATATGCATACTACAATTCTGGATAGCAGAAAAATGAACTAAAGTAACCAGCATAAATGGGTTGCAAAAAAGAGAAGAATGAGGGAAAAACTGCATGGTGGAATAAAATGCACGGAACAGTCCCTTTTATGTTTGTCTTTTACAAGCACACAGAGGACGCTAAGCGCTGTTTATTGGTACTCAAGTGTGCAACAAGCCAGAGGTGGCTTCACTGCAGGCACATGATCCAGCTAGTGTGCTGAGAATGGTGGATATTGTTCACCCCAGCCTCTAAAATATAGCAAATATAAAATAGAAGAGTCTTTTTATGCTTTGGGGAGAGAATAGGCCTTCCTAAACAAGGCATTAAGGAAAAATCAACTGATTTGATAGTACTCAGTGAAAGAGAACATCAAGACGCTTGGGAATAGTGAAACGCGCCATAAACAGAATGGAAAGAAAGATGACTGAGAATGCGGTGACACAGAGGACAAAGGATCAAGCCCTGTGCTGTAGGAGAAGCTAATATAAATCAATACAAAAGAGACAAACAACCCAGCAGAAAAAGAGGCAAAGGCCGTGGGCAGGAGACTCCTAGGAAAAGGAGCTAAGGAAAAGACAGTCCAGGGGACAGAGAAAGGGTCAGGTGCAGGGTGGGTACCAGCTAGGAGCCAGAAGGACCGCTGGAGAGGGAACTGGGAAGACCCCGAGAGAAGGCTGGATGTACACAGTGCTGGCCGGATGGGTGGCCAGGGTGGGGCCAGGGAATGATGACCAGGCTGGGTTCTCAGGGCCTGGGCAGCTGGGGTGACTGAGAGGGCAGGTCCACATCAAAGCAGTAGGACCACCAGCAGCTGGCATGTCCCACCCTTCCTTGCTCCATTGCTTTTGCCCTTTGATGTGTGTGTGGGAGGAACTCTGAGCCAGTGGGTTGCCCTGCTCACTCCCCACTCACACTGGGCCCTCAGTACTGCCAGGCTTTGCCCAATACCCTGGTTGGGGGAGGGGGACAGTGTGAGGAGTGACTTGTGGCTCCTGAGCTGGGGCCAGGACCAGGGAGAAACCCTCCTAGGTGAAGACACAGCCTGTAGGACTAAGAAACCTGTTTAGGCCAAATGACTCTCAAGCTGGGAAACTCCAGTTTGAATCAGAGTTGCCACACAAAGGGGCTCACTGAGGCCCAGTGTGCTTTGGGGTTGTGACCACTGCTCAGACAAGACTTGAGCCCCATCCCTTCTCTGGCTCCTGGACCCTGCAGGGTTGGGGTCAGAATGGGAGCGAGGATGAGTGGGTTGAGGAGCAGCACAGTGCAGTTGCATCCTCTACCCTCCCCTACAGTACTTCTGGCTGCTGGTTCTGTCCCGGGGTCTGGTGGGGATCGGTGAGGCCAGCTACTCCACCATTGCACCCACCATCATCGGCGACCTCTTCACCAAGAACACGCGCACGCTCATGCTGTCTGTCTTCTACTTTGCCATCCCCCTAGGAAGGTAAGAGCACAGATGCCAGGGTTGGGGGTTTGGGTGAGGATCTGGGCTGGGCGCCCTGGACTTTCGAGCATTTCCTCAGCTGCACACACACGTGGTCAGCCTTGGCGCATGCCTGACCAGCTGGCTGCATGGTTATGTGCAGCGTGCCTCATACACCCCTGAGATTTCCTGCCCCAGTCCCCGCCTTTGCTCAGCCTGACATGCGTCTGTCTTCTCTGCAGTGGCCTGGGCTACATCACGGGCTCCAGTGTGAAGCAGGCTGCTGGAGACTGGCATTGGGCCCTTCGGGTAAGGCCTAGTTCTTTTGCCAGGAGGTTAAGCTCAGTCTAGCTCTTGCCCCAGGGTTACTAGAAATGCCAGGGCACCAGCTTTGACCTCTAGGGGCTCTCCTCAGCAGCCCCGGCTCTGAAGTCCTGACCTGGATTAGTGCACACAGTGCTGTCAGGGGAATCAGAGCCCTATGGCCTCAGGGCTTCAGTCCAAGGCTTGGAATCTCTCTTGGGAGCCCCAGGTTGAGGGGATGAAGACTTCTCTATCCATGTCAGGAAATTCCAGGTCCACGACAGAGCTTCCTGCTTCCAGTCCCAGCTCTGTGCTAGGGCAAGGCTGGGACAAGACCTCTGTGTGGGGCCCCTCAGAGCCATTTCCTGTCCTGTCAGAGGCTTGGGGGACAGTTACCAAGGCCCCAGGATAGTGCAATCGGAGGAAACAGAGATCTCCATCTCCCAGCAGAGCGGAAGCTTAAGACAAAGTGTTTTTTCCTCAAAAGCAGGAAGGAAGTAGCCTCCGTGGAATTTCTTGGTGGGGACAGAGAGGGGTGGCATGGAGAGGAATGAGCTCAAAGCTCCCGGGCTTGGGGAAGGGGTGGGGACAGACCGCTTTTTTCAGGGGGTGGTGGAAGGCTGGTGTGCTGGCATCCAGACTGTGCAGAAGTCTCCTCCCCGTACAGAGTCCTGGGGCCTCGTAGGTTCTCTTCCTGACATGAGCTGTTTGAAGGGAAGACAGAAAGGGGCCTGCACAGACCCCTCCCAATGGGGTCTACCTGCCTTATGAGCAAGAGGCTCTATGCCTGGCCCTTCCCTTCCCAGTGCGTCACAGGGTTAGTGACTCACCTGGGAAAGCTTCCCAGCCTCAGACAGTAGGGCAGGGCTGGTCTCTTGCAGCAATTCTCTTCTCCCTCCAAGTTACCTTTCCATATGTCTTTCCATCTATCTCTCATTTATTTACTATATGTATATATTTGGTGCAGGGTCTCACTACTCAGCTCAGATTCATAATGACCCTCCTATTTTCAGCCTCCCCAGCACTGGGATTATAGGAGTATTCCACCATACTAGGACTTGGTGGCTGGCTTGGTGCACCCGGGGGCAGAGCCGGCATGACATGTGGAGCCATGGACTGAACCTGGTCCCTGTGCTTGCCTAAGCAAGTGCTTAGTCCACTGAGCTATCTCGCCAGCTCTGCATCTATTCATTATCCATCTGCCCACCCATTTTCCTTCCATCTGCCTGCCTGCCTTTTCATGTATTTTTACCCATCTGCTCAGTCATATCTCTTTCCTCCTGTATCTGTCTATCCATTTCTTTATTCATCTATCTCTTCCTTCCTTCCTTTCTGTTTGTCACTCTTCCTTGTACCTTCTTTCCCATCCTTCTCTGGTCTGAGTCCATTTGAAGCCCTTAACCCTCTTTGACCTCATCCCCAGTGGCTTTACCCATTAGGAGGGCTGGACAGCCATTGGCCCAGAGCCCATAGAAGGTGCAGCCTGCCTGGCCCCCTCTAGTGCAGCAAAGACAAGGCTAACTGGGCTCTGTGTCCTAATATCATGCTTCACCCTCTGCCAGGTGTCTCCTGTCTTGGGCATGATCACAGGAACGCTCATCCTCATCCTGGTCCCAGCCACCAAGAGAGGCCATGCTGACCAACTCGGGGGGCAGCTCAAGGCACGGACCTCATGGCTGCGAGACATGAAGGCATTGATCCGAAAGTGAGTCTGGTGGAAGGGGCTGCTGGGAAGAGGGAGGGATGCCCCAGCGGGAAGGCCTTGTAGCACCTCCATACCATTGCTCACCAGTGCTGCTGCTTGTGGCTGTGGCCCTGGAGTTCATTGTTCTGCAGCCTGAGCTGGCCCCAAGCCTGTGGGGGAGGTATTTCAGTTCTCTGTCAGGGGATGGTGTGAGGCAGCCCTCTGAGGGAGAAGAGGCAGCCTCCTGGGCTCTGATGTGGGCTGGTTGTCGCAGCTGAAGAGGGTCTGGGCCCAGCTCAGTGTCGCTGCCCTGGCCTCTCCCCAGCCGCAGCTACGTCTTCTCCTCCCTGGCCACGTCAGCTGTGTCCTTCGCCACAGGGGCCCTGGGCATGTGGATCCCGCTCTACCTGCACCGTGCCCAAGTTGTGCAGAAGACGGCTGAGACCTGCAATAGCCCGCCCTGTGGGGCCAAGGACAGGTGAGCCTGGCAAGTGGGTGTGGGGGTGGTTGGCAAGGGACAATGAATGGGCACCCCTGTGCTCCAGCGGCTAAGCCCCCCAACCTGTACCCAACGTCCTCTTTACCCACAGCCTCATCTTCGGGGCCATCACATGCTTTACTGGCTTTCTGGGCGTGGTAACTGGTGCAGGTGCTACACGCTGGTGCCGCCTGCGGACCCAAAGGGCCGACCCGCTGGTGTGTGCTGTGGGCATGCTGGGCTCCGCCATCTTCATCTGCCTCATCTTCGTGGCGGCCAAGAGCAGCATTGTGGGCGCCTATGTGAGTGTAATGGGGGCAGGGAGCAGGGGTTGAGGGAGGAGGTTTGGAGGTGGGCTGGCAGTGAAGTCTGACTTGCTGAGCCTTCCGTCCTCATGGGGAGGCTGCTGTCCCTTGGATGCTGGCCCTTGCTCTGTCCACCACCTGTTCAGGGCTCTGGGTGTCCTTTGGGGCTGTGGGCATGGCTGGAATTCTCTGGGTAACCCACCAATTCCTCATGAGCCTGACTGAGAGGAGGTGGGGCCCTGGGGGTGGTGGTGGAGGGAGAGGAGGCTTTGGGGCAAGTGGGTGCAAGTGGCAGCTGAGGCTGCTGCAGGAAGGAGAGGCCCCTGATGGCTGAACTCTTTTCTCCTGGGCAGATCTGTATCTTTGTCGGGGAGACACTGCTGTTTTCTAACTGGGCCATCACCGCGGACATCCTCATGGTGAGCCAGGCAGGGTGACCTAGGCCTTTTGACTTCACAGGAGCAGCAAGGGAGGGCCATTGAGGAGGTAGGAGAGCTAGTGGGGGTCTGCCAGGATGATGACTCCCAGGGGCAGGGAGATTTGGGGGTCTGTGTCAGGGGCTGCAAACAGGATTGAGCAGGCAGATGAGGTACAGCGTGGGGCAGGGCAGGGAGAGCATTGTCTCAAGGCTCAGGTTTGTGCTGGGAGGCTGGCAGTGCCAGGCTGGCACTGAGGTGGTGTTGCCTGCCAGCACTCCCCCCCCCACCCCCACCCAGAGGCTGAGTGTTGTGGGCTCTGCCCTCCTGGTTCAGCCCGGGTCCCAGGCGTGCCTGCTCGGGTGCCTGCGGCTGGGCTAGCCAGACAGAGGCTGTCTTCACAGGGCCAACAATGGGCTGCAGACTAGCAGGCCAGGGACAAAGGGCCATCTGAAGAGTGGACAGGGGCCTGTGTCCCCAGGCGTGATGGGAGCAGGAACCAGAAGGGGGCAGTGGACCTAGTAGCTCGTGGCACTCAGTGGGAGGAAAGCAGGGGTGGGTGTGTTCCTTGTTTTATCCTTGAGGACCGTCTGGGTCACAGCCAGGAAAGGATTGGGAGCACAGTGCAGAGGACTGGCACTGGGAGCGGTCTGGGGAAGAAAAAATCCTCTGGACGTTTGAGGTCTGGTGTGACCACAGGAGATAACCTGGAGGTCAGAGTCCAGCCAGGCCTTGGCCCTTGTGAGTCCCTCTGCTTCAGAAAGTAAACCTTGCCCACTCAAGCTTCCTCAAGTATCTGCTTCTCCCTGGCTGGTCCCTGCCTCCAATCCGCAGTCACAGTGGAGGTGGTAGGGTCTGACTCTCCTCAGGGCCTCAGAATAGAGCTGATGGTGGCAGCATAGGCTGGGTCACTGTACAAGCCCAGGGTGATGGACTGAGTCTGAATCAAATACCTTTGGCACTGGGCAGCAGGCCCTTCCCTGTCTCCATCCCCAAGGGCAGCCCCTGACAGCTGCTGACGGTGTCTGGGTCCGAGGGAAATCATGTCCCAGTTTATTAAGTATGGCTAAGTGACTAATTATTACTAGAAATGAGGCCATGCAATCTCATCAGATCCAGGTCTCTTCCCACCTTCACATCACTGACAGGGTGCCTTGTGGGGCTGCTGCCTGCACATTGGCCATGGAGGCTAGTGCCCTGGGTAGAGAAGGTAGCTGCAGTTCAGGGGCAGGGGTGCCCAGGGACACCCAGTACCCTGGTGCTGCCTGTTCAGCTGCCCAAGCCTCTCCTATCTGACTCAGAGCTGGTCAGGCCTTGCTCAGTTTTAAGAGTGGGTAGGTGGTGGGGCCCAGGAGTTCCTGGCATTTGGTGCTAGGGCCACCCATCTGTTCGGATGACACTGTTCTGGGCAAGGGTCCTACTTCACCCCAGCTCCCCGTCCCAGGCCTACTTCGGCCTTGCTTGGTCCTTGTGGAGGACAGCCAGGCCCTGGCCCTTGCAAGTCCCTCTTCCAAGAGAAATATTTCTATTGTGGAGCAAGAGGCTAGTTAGGCTTGCAGCTCCAGAATGGCACAGCTCCATGTGGCCCCTGGGGAATGGCACCTCCCCAGGCCTCAGTGGCCCCGGACCATGGTACCTGGCTGTTCCTAGCAGTCAACCAGAGCTGATGGCAGCTTGGTCTCAGGGAGAGGTGGGGAGGCTGCAGCTCTGTTAAAATCTGTGCCAACCACAGCCAAGGGACCTCACCTGGATGTGAGACAGATCCCCACCTCTGAGCTGGAGTGGGGGGAGGCTGGGGAGGTCAGGGCTGGGCATGGTGATGACTAAAGCTGCAGGTGGGGAAAAGCAGCCGTAGCATGGGGAGAGGAGGGGTGAGAAGGCCCCTGGGGATGTGGTGAAGACACTACAAGGAGTGTGATTGAGGCTGTGGGGTCTTCAGAAGTGTCACAGCCACAGGGGTGGGCCTGACCTGCTCCTCTGTCCTACAGTATGTGGTCATCCCTACCCGACGGGCCACTGCTGTGGCCTTGCAGAGCTTCACCTCCCACCTGCTGGGCGACGCAGGGAGCCCCTACCTCATTGGCTTTGTGAGTGGCTGCGGGTAGGGGAGTGTCAGGGCTGGGTGGTTGGGGGCTTCAGGAAGTGGCCCCACCCTGATGCCTGTCCCCATCTTCACAGATCTCGGACCTGATTCGCCAGAGCACCAAGGACTCCCCACTCTGGGAGTTCCTGAGCCTGGGCTATGCGCTCATGCTCTGTCCCTTCGTCGTGGTCTTGGGTGGCATGTTCTTCCTGGCCACCGCTCTCTTCTTCCTCAGCGACCGGGCCAAGGCTGAGCAGCAGTGAGTGGGCAGGGGGTGGGCCTGCTGCCTTGGCTGGGAAACACACTGTGACAGCTCTGTGTTTCCCCACTGCGCTGTGTGTGTGGTGGGTGTTAATGGCCTCCTCTGCACCTTGGGTGACGGCTGATGGCCGGTACTGGATCCAAGGGCAACCCCGGCATGCCTGGGCCCAGCTCAAATCTTCTGTCACACAGGCAACCCATAGTGGAAGCTGCCAGGCCTGTTGTATTTAGGGTGTGGGTTTTTCTCTGGAGTTACAGGTTTTCAGAGCTGAGACCTTCTCATCTTTTCCTCTCATTTTCTGACTTCTTTCTCCTTTTCTTTTTACTCCTCTTTTTCTTCTCTCCCACCTCTGGGCTCTCCCACCTCCCCCTGGGGCTGACGAGGTCCCTGCCCAGCACCTCCGGTCAGCCAGCCCCAGTGATGCGATGTGCCAGAACCGTGCCCGGGCCCGGCCCCCGCTGACGTGCCACCCTGACCCCCGCCTGTCTCTCCCTCAGGGTGAACCAGCTGGTGCTGCCGCCCCAATCCATGAAGGTCTGAGGCGGTGAGTGCAGGCTGAGGGGGACATAGCAGTTTAAGGGACAGGGAAACTCCTCGCCAGCTGTCTGTTGCCTGAGTTCATCCCACCAACCCTGGCTCCTGAAACGCTGCCCAGACTCTGCGATGGAGCTGTGTGATGGGGAGTGGCCTCCTTCCAGTAAATCAGATGGCTGCTTCCTTGGAAGGGCTGAGGGCATAGGTCAAGGTTGGAGCCAGCCAGGACTCCCACTGTCCTCCCAAATCCTCCTAGAGGTGCCAGGGCCCAACTTGTACTGTGATCTCCCTCAGGGCCTGGTCTCAGCTTCCCAGCACTGCAAGCCCAGAGTCATGGTTCCAAAGCCTAGAGCACATCTGATTCCCCAAACAGCAGGGGAAGTGAGGAGGGAAGCCTTGGGAGGCCGCCCCAGTGCCCCAATCCTGAAATCACACCCTCCTCTCTCCTTAGGTGCCGCTGGGACAGTGAAGAACTCTTGCTCCCACCTAACCTGGGAAGCGTCCTACGGCATCCCAGATCTGTGGAGCTGTCCCAAAGCTTCCTGTGTGACAGACTAGGGAATGCTGCCCTCTGGTCTGGGACTGCTGAATGGCCCTGGCTCCAAGAAGCCACAACCTCTGTTAACCTGGAAGACTGTGTGTGTCAGGGGAGGTTGGACAGATTCTCAGCCCTGGGTTTGGGCTGCAGAGCCCCTGGGTTTGGGCTGCAGGGTCCCTGGGACCAAGGGAGAAGGCACCCCCAAGTAGGTCTATCAGAAGACCTTGGCCCACCACCAGCTTATGTGATCTTGGGCAAGGCCCTGCCTGCCCTAGGTCGTGGGCCCGGGGAGCAGGACTTCCCCACACAGTATGTTGGGCAAGGCACCATCTACAGCCTTCAAGACCCAGTAGATCCTGGACCATGCAGAGAAGAGACGGCTGGGCCCTCAGGGCTACAGTTCAGGTTCTGAAGCCCTTGAAAGCACCGGGAGCACTTTGGGGTCGCTGGATTCAGGCGGGCACCTGAGGTGGAACAGTCATCACAAGGTGCTTTCTGGTCTGTGGCACTCTGGAGGACATTTGTCTCTGCTGCCTTGGGCTGGCTTTTTCCCTAGAGGCTTCCCAGGTTGGGCCATTCCTCCATCGGGAGCTGGCATCACCAGGGGTGAAGGCCCTGGTGGCAGCCACACACCACCCATGCTCCAGGTTTGAGATGTTGGGAACCACCAGCCCACCTCTGCAGTGCTCCCCATGGGTCCTAGAGCACTTCTGCTGGCTTTCCAGAAGCGAGGGCCCACTCTCCTGCGGGCTGGGCAGGGCTTCTAAAGGAGCGTATCTAGGGCTGAGCTGCGGAGGGAAGCAGCTATCCCTCAGTTTCCTGCTTCAGGGGATGGGTCTTCATGAAGGAGGGAGCCTAGTGTCCCTGGCTACCAGCTGCTGTGGCTGTCAAGGACACACTCCCAGCGACTTCATGGCTGATTCTGGGGGGCTGGGCCTTCTCCCCAGGCTTTGATCACCCCACTCCCATCTACACCCCCGCCCCCCTGCAGCCCAAACCAGGTTATAGCTGTTACCTGCACACCAGCCCCCTGGGGCAGCTTATGCCCACCACCCCCCCACTCCCTGCACATCTGCTGCAATCGCGGTCATAGGAGACCCCAAGAGCCACCTAGACACTGCTCCCTCTGCCCCTTAGTTACTGGCTGGCTGTGGCTTCAGTGGTGTGTTAGCTAGTGGAATACCCACCCTTCCAAGCTCTGGGGTACCCTAGGGGCTGGACAAAGGGGTGGTATCCCCCAAAGACCAGTCTGGCCTCCACCCCACCCTCACCTGGGGCCCCAGCAATGTTTTCTTGTTGTACAAGAACCAGGTCCAAGTGTTGCCTCCTCTTCCTTCCGGAAGCCAAACTGCTCCTTTATTTTTTAGAGCTGCTGATTGTGAATCTCAGAATCTTAAGAGAAGCCAAATATATTCCTCTTGTAAATGAAGAAATAAACCTATTTAAATCATGTCCTGGTGGTTCCTACAGGAAGTCTGGAGAGGGGCAGGGCTCCCAGGAGTGCTGGCACCTGTGCAGGGAGCCTGGCTGGCAACAGAACCACTACTCAGAACCAGAGGCTGCTGCCTTAGGCTTGTTTATTAAAACACAGTGAAAAAATAAGGAGTCTCGAGGGCTGCTGGATGGAGACGGAGGGCACCAGCACTCAGGGTGTTCTTAGCTTCTTCCGCAGCAATTTCTTTTTCTTGGCTCCACTCTGGAACAGGCTGGGGCTCTTGACCACAGACATGCGGGCCTTCTTCCGTGACAGGGCAGACTGTGGGGACTTGACTGAGATTCCCTTATTGGAAAGAGCTTTCTGACGTTGCTTTTTGCCTGAAGGCTCTGTCGGGGTCACAGGGGTGTCTCCATTCACCTGTGACGGCCTTTTGCCCTTCTTCGGCTCTGGAGTTTTGGCAGGGGTGCTGGGGCTCAAGGTGAGGGTGTTAGGGGCAGGGCTCTTGGTGGCAGGTGTCCCATTCACTTGGGGCTGTGCCAGGACCTTGGCCTTCCCCCTTTTTCTCTTCTTCTTGCCTGTGCTGGGGGGCTGGTTGCCACCAGTGGCTGGAGGAGTAGCTGCCTCTGGCGTGGCACCCTCCTCTGGTGTGGGCCCCTCCAACTTGCGTTTCTTGCGCTTTTTGGTCTCTGGCAAAAATCCTTTTTTCTTCCGCTTCATGCTAAGGGGGCTCTCAGAGGCACTGGGGGCTTCTTTGGTGTTCTTCTTCTCTATCTTGGGGCGCCTAGGAGGAAGTGAGCAGGATAAGAAAACACCCAGTGAGGACAGGAGTCATCTCTGCCTTGTGGTTCCACAGGACCCAGGGGTCCCAAGCCCCCACACCAAGCATGTACACTGGCGCGGGAAGCGCCGGTGTGGGAGTCTTTCCAGCCCCTGCTGAGGTGTGGGTCTGCCTTCCCAGAACCTACTGGACTCCGAGCATCTTCATGGCCTGCCAGTACAAGTCGTGGAGGCGGTTGGAGCCAGCTGAGTGTTCGCCCTGCTGCAGGCTCTGCTGCTGGCCCCGCAGCACACCCAGGAGAGCGCTAAGGTCCACAGTCACATCCTGCAGAAGCAAGGCTGCAGCTGCAGAGGTGATGGGAGACGGGGCCTCTCCGCGGCTCCCGGGGCCCCTGCCTACTCCTTCTACCCAAAGGGCAGCTGCTCAGTTCTGCCCCTTGCTTTGCTGCCACTGCTTCTCCCTTCAGCAATGATCAAAGACCAAGCTTGCTCCCCACTTGGGTTCTGGTTCTGATTAGGGTTTGTCTGTGCCAAGTCTCCCAAAGCCTGATTTCTGGCCAGGATTGGGGATCCAGATACACATTCTCCAGCTGCCCATGGCCCTCTACCCTGACATGAGCAGATCAAACCTTACTGGGCCTGGACTCATCACTGCTGCTCTGTCCTCTTGCCCCAGGCTTGGACACCTGGCCTCCACACTAACTGCTGCTAACCTGGAATCTCTCCATCTCTTCCCCGTCTCCTACCGTCCCTTGTCTTTCTCATCCCATCAAGGCCAGGTGGCACTCTGCCACCCAAGTTACATTCATCCACACGTGGTAAGATAATCACATAAACATGGACAGCTTGGACTCCTCAACTTGGCACCCAGAATCTTCCCTATGTGACCCATGCTGATGTCCCTCCCAGCCTGGAAGCCCTGACTATCCTGAAGTCTGCTGCTTGGACCCCAAGGATGCCTGCTCCTTCCCAGGCCCAGCTGTGAGCTGTTGGCTCACCTCATGATGGATGATCTTGAAGAGAGTGTTGAGCAGCTCCAGGGAGGTCAACTGCTTCTGGTGCTCCGCCCTGCTCTGTGCCTCCCCCAGTGTACACAGGTTCTAGGGAGGAGGGGTCAGGCTGAAGTATGCAGAAGGGAGTCCTTGCTGGAGGCCCTGTTCCCTAGCCCGACACCAAAGCCCAAAGAAGATCACATCTCCGGGACCAGCCAAACCCTACTTTGGAGGAAGGCTTAGGCTTGGAGAACCTTTCCTGGTGGGGTGGGAGGAGGGACCTCCAGGCTCTTACCTCAGTGACCTTTGCCAGGACCTGGCCAATCAGCTGCTCCCACTCAGGATCCTCAAAACATGCCCTCAGCTCCCGTGCAGATAGGGTCTTCTGCAACAGCAGGCAGGAATGGGCCTGAGGAAAGAAACACATGGTTACTGGGAACCTAGGTGCTGGAGGGACTGCCAGACACCCGCTAAGAACATGGCAACCCTAGGTGGTGCATGGGGGCTGCCTGCAACAGCTCATTCCTGTCAACTCTTAGGTGGGCCACAGTGAGGCCTGGATGAAGACTGGGTTGCCAAATGGACAAGGATAGGGAAGATAGGATCTCAGGTTGAAACAGCTTCTAGGCCCTCTTACTAGCTTAGCACCATCTCCTGCCTGCCTGCCCAACAGCCAGGGCACCTGACTAACTGGGAAATGCCAGGCATCCTTTTGTTCAGGTAAGAGGACAGGCCCTTAAGGGAGTTGGAGGGCTCAGGCTGGGAAGGAAGTGGTGGCTACAGGGACAAAGCCAGCCCTGTCCCCTCAGACCTTATACTGATGGTGGGGAAGGCCAACAGTACAGCCATCCTGCTCCTCAGATGATATGCCCTTCAGCCAAGGTTGGCAGGCATGGCTCCTGGGTATCACACCCCCCACCAGAAGAGGATGAAATGGACAACGCAGGAAGGCCAATGCAGGAAGGCCAGTGGGATCTGGCAAAGCCCTTACCTGCTGACGGGCCCGAGTTGAGCCAGACATGCGCTGGAGCAGGACAGGGAGCAGACTCTTACAGATCATCTGGGAGTGCAGGAAATAATGGACAGTAAGGCAGGGCCTGGGATGTGGGATGGGGAGGGGTAGCCAGAGGAGCAGGGGTGTGGGACACTCACCGGGTACCGGGAGAAGAGGCTGAGGAACATGGGGATGGTGAAAGGGCTGTTGCGCCTGGTCAGGAAGGAGCTCAGTGCTGCCAAGTACACAGGCGTCACAAGGTCCAAGTCCAGACAGTTGGTCTAGGCCAGGTGAGAGGGATGGGGGGAGGCTTGCGTCAGGCCCAGGCAGCACACAGAAGGCTGAGGGCGGGACCTGGCTCTTCCTACAGCCCTCAGGGACCAAGCCCCACTCACCTGAGGGCCTGGATCCTCGGGGCCACCCCTGGCACTGGCTCCCTGACACTGCTGGCCCTCCAGTGTGTGCTTCTTAGCATTGCCCTTCAGGACGCGTAGCAGGTACAGAGAGGCATTGAAGTAATAGAGGGCGACAGAGGAGTCAGCCTGCTGGCTGGCCTGCTGCACCAGGCGCTCCACCTGGGTGTGCAATGCTGCTGCGCAGGGGCCCACGTTGTGGCAGTAGTGCCGGGAGCGGCACAGGTGGTGCCTGTGGGCGAGAGGTCAGAATGTTTCCTCACCAGTTCTCCAAGTAAGGCCAACCCTGAAGAGGGACTTTCAGTCCCATGACATGGGAGGAAACAAGAGAACTTAGAAGGAGAAGGACCTTGACCCAGGCTTTGCAAACTTGCTGAGGACATGAGGCAGAGGGGCAATGATTCCCTGGCTGGGCTGCACCATGGGCCGGACCCCTCTGCTCTAGTCCATGCCTCCACCTGTATCCCTTTCTTCTGAGGCAGTGGCCTCCATGACCTCTGTAAAGTGAGACCAATATCTGTGCTCAGAACCCTGTGTGGGTCAGGGTGATGGTGCATGCTTGTGATCCCAGCACTTGGGTAGCTGAGGCAGGAGGGTTGCTAATTTAAGGTCGGCTTAGAATAAAGAGACCCTGTTTCAAAAAACCACAAAAACAAAACAGAACAAAATACCAAAATAAAATCCCCAAACAGAACAACAACAAAAGCACTTATCATGTTGGAGGGCTGGGGACAGAAGGGGACACTAGAAAAAATAGACAGTGACCAGGCGCCGGCAGACAGAGTGACCTAGGGCCACGTTCAGGGTACCTCACGCCCTCTCTGCAGTGTATTTGGTGTCCCAGAACTATAGGACTTTGCCTCGAAGGTCTGCATTTGCCACAGACCTTGTCTCTTAGATGCTGCAACTGCCTCCCTGCCGGCCTTCCTGCCTCTAGTGAGCCCTCCTTCAGACCTCTCTAAACCAGACCCTCCCTGCCGCTGCACCATGGCTGACAATACGCCCGTGGGCTCGATGCCAGCAGCCAGCTCCTGCCCTCAGCCCTGCCTCAGGCCTGTTGGTGTCCTGCGCTCGTTCCTTGGCTCCCTGCCTTGCTGCCACTTCTTCCTGCATGCTCTGTTCCTGCCATGACCAAAGCTCTGCCCATGCTATGATGCCACAGCCAGATGCCAATTTCCCGTCACGAATGAGGGCAAGGATGGGACCAGGGACCTGAGGACGCCAGCCCTAGGGCACAGCTGGCATGAAGTGATAGGAAATCAAGTCTCTGCACTGCCCCACTCACATGAAGATGCGGGCCGTCTTGTGCAGAAGGTCTTGTTCCTGCTTGCTGCTGCTGCTGCTGCGCATGCTGCTCCGGATGATGTTCAGTAGGGGCTCAAGCAGCTCCAGGACCAGAGGGTTCTCAGGTTGCCTGGTCACCAGCACCTCGATGAGGTCCAGCACCTGGGGACAGAAGGACGCTCATCCTACTCATGTTCATGAGCAGAGAGGGGCTGGGCAGGGAAGTGGCCACCTGCTTGGCCGCCGGCTCACCCGGATCTGGAAGTCCCGCCGGAGCGCCTTCTCCTTCTGTAGCTTGTTCTTCTCCTCACGCCGGGCCCGGATGCGCAGCTTCTGCTCAGCAAAGAGGCTGGACAGGTTCTCATCCAGGGCCATCATGGCCTCATCGCTCAGCTCCTCCTCATCACTGTCTGTGCCACCCTGGTGACAGAGGCCCAGCCATCAGTGTGGACACAACATGGATGCACAAAGGCAGATCCTTCCTCCTAGTTCCCTCTCACCAGTGCCTTCCCAGCCTGTAGCACTTCCATAAGCTGTTGGCGGAAGCCGGGGTCCACGTGCTCGTCACGCTCCTCCTCCTCGCTCTCCTCTCCCTCGCTATCTGCTTCGCTCTCTGAGTCTTCGTCTTTGCTGTCTGAGCCCTCATCCTGTGGAAGGTAGGCTGGTTATACTTTGCCAAGGCCACCGCTACAGGCCCAGCACAACCCTGTTCCTCGCTTGTCAGTACCTCTGCATCCTTCTGTTGCTTCTCATCAGAATCGTCGGTGACCACCACCACGTCATCCTCATCCTGGTTTGTCTCAGGGTTCAGCACCTGGGAAGGATTCCCAGGCTGCTGACTCATCTGCCACCCAAGGCCCCAACCTTCCTCATATCCCTGGACTCTGCTCCTTGCCTCCTGACCAGACTCAGCTGCCTTGGTCAAAGGGTCTAGGTCAGGGAAGAGAATGGGAGGACCAGTTCCCTTGACAGCCCTCAGGATGTCAGAAATAGGCAGGTACAGCAGTGGTACAAGTCCCCATTCAGTCTGATTCTGTAGGCAGGGCTGAGATGAGATGGTATCCCCAGTATAACCTGGTGCTCTGGGGGCCCCACCCCTGAATCTATCTCTCTCAAATCTCAACTCACATTCAGGATAAGTTGTAGGGCACGTGGTGTCAGGTGGGAACAGATGTGACCAAACACGCTCCGGGCCACCTGGCGCATCAGGTTGCTGGGCTGGGACAGCAGGGACAGCAGGATCTCTACCATCACTTCCACCCACGGGTGCTCCTGGGAGTCTGTAAGCAGGGAGAGGGCTGAGCCAGGACAGGGAGCTGCTGGCTGCATGGGACAGCCACGCTCTGGGTCTTTATGCCCGAGGACAAGGACCGCCCACCCTGTCCCAAGGGAAAACACCCACTGATGGCCTTGGAGCGGGAACGGCGGGTCTTCTCCCCCATGCTCTTCTTGATGCAGGTCTGGATGTCCCCTAGGAGGTCACAGCTCTCTGTGGGGGACTGTGGGTAGGGCAGGACAGAAATCAGGGGCTGGGCTTCCTCCTGCCCCCGTTGAGCGAGGCAAGGAGGTGGCTGAGACTAGTTGGCATCTGAGGCCTAAACATTCTGGCCACCAGCCTGCTCTGCCCAGTCACAACAGAAGACCCCAAGGTAGCCCAGAGCTAATGGCTCCCCCTACACCATACACACAGAGGCCCTAACCAGCAAGGCACCCAGGGGGGTCCAGCCTCCCACCGCTCCACATCTGGCTTAGCATTAGACATAGGCATCACTGAGGTGTGTGTGGGAAAATGTCTTATAATCTGTAGTAGCTGCAAGGCAGACTTCCCGCTCACAACCCCCCGGGTCCAGATCCCTGTGACCCTGACTAGAGTCAAGTGTCCAGATCCCTGTGAATGAACTATATCTTTCTCTGTGTTGTAACTTTTCTCCAAGGATTTGACACACCCTGAACTGCAGCTTCCTCTAAGAAGTCAAACTCAGAGATCCCAAGCTCTAGGGCAGGATACTCAGGTGTCTGAGAGTCCCTGGGGCCCTGCTGCTATCAAAGGCTTGATGCCAAGTATTAGGAGCAAAACCCACAGCCACAGGGCCAGAAGGAAACAAGCAAATGAGGGAGGGACCTGTTACTCAGGTCAGCAAGACTGAAGCTTCCCTGATAAGAGCCCCCAGGCAGCTCTAGGGAGCCAGTTCTGAAAAAAAAAAATGAGGGTTCAAGACTTCAGGGAAATACAAGAAGCAAAAGTGCTGCTAGTGTTCAACTTCAAATGCAATCGCAATTTCCTGTGGTCAGAACACAATGGGAACATGGCTTCGGGAGAAATTTGACACAGCTTGACACAGAACAGGATAGGACAAAGAACCTGGGCTGAAGATGCACAGAGGAAAATACCAACCTCAGCCACTACTACTGCTTCTAGGCGGGCTTTGAATTAAACTTTGGGCCTCCTTCCCTCCCTCTCAATTTTGAGATAGGGTCTCACTACATAACTCAGGCTGGCCTCAAACTTCCGGCAATCTTCCTACTTCAGCCTCCTAGTACTGAATACAGGTGCAGGCCACAATGTACGGCAAACTGGCTCCCAAATGACATGGCCCACGAGTGCTATTTGCCTCCCTCCTTGGGGAGGTGGCAGTTCTTTATGGGTACTTCTTTTGGCCTGTAAGCCACATCTGGGAGGTCCTGTGGAGTGGTTTGAATCCCAGTAATTTGCTGTGTTTGGCAAGTCACTTTACTTTCTTTCTCTACCTGTCAAACATGGGAAGTACCTGCCTAAAAGCTTTGGAGATAAGTGGTAGCCTTGCAGGGAAAGCTTGGGATGCCCGCTGGTGCCCGTAGGTAGACGTTGCAATCTTTCCTTGAGTTGAGACCCAACCCTCAGCCCTACAGGGTGCTGCCTGGCCCTCAAGCCTCTCAGCAGGAGGCCCACCACCCCCCAACCCTAGGTTCCCAGATGCGTCTCTCTAGGCCACTGTACCTTGAAGAGGTGGATGCCCACCAGGAGCAGCAGGTGCTGGAAAGCAGAGGCCTTGGTCTCTGAGGAGCGGGCCTCCAGTTCCTTCAAGGTCTCCAGCATTCTGGGGGCAGGGTAGGGGAAGACAGGTGTGTTTGCAGGCCACTGCCAGTCCCACCCCAGTGCCCCACCCCCTGTGGAAGTCCTGTGCCTCACTGGTCCCAGGCCTGGCGCTGTTGTGCTGTGAAGGGTGTGACGATGGCCACGTTGCGACTGTGATTCAACAGCGTGTCTGCTAACTGCACCAGGCGGTAGATCCAGTGGTGCCCACCTTGGGCCTGGTCTGGGATGTGCCTCAACTTTGTGCTGAGGGTCTGTAGCAGGCTGGTGAGGGTGAGGCTGGAGTCAGAGGACTGCACAGGCAAACACACGCCATCCCTCTCCACCCACCTCAAGGCTTGATCCCTGGCCTCAGTAGATACTGGGTGCTCACTACTGCTCCGAGCTTGGCACATGGGGAGCAAATATCCTCAATGTCATCTCACCACTCTTGCCTTTCCTGGGCTGCCCAAGACCCACCTGAAGAAGGCACCAGTGAAGAATTCTCGGGTCCGGCTGTCCAGAGGAATGGAGAACTGCTGCTTGGTCTCTGGGATCTGGCTCGTGGGCTTCTTTGTTTTAAAGAATGAGTGGAACAAACAAAACCTGGGAGAGAGCCAGTGTTGCTTCAGCTCGTGCCACTCAGTCCAACGGGCTTCCCTTCTTGGGTGGGTACCATGAAGGGTGTGCCAGGAGGAAGGAGGAGCTACTGGCTTGTGCACATCTCTCACAGGACCCAATTGGTCAAGGCCAGAGGCAGCTGGGCAATGACAAGCGTGGGCTGCTTCTCTGAGAACCAGGGCCCTTGCTAAGGTGGAGACACATGTGAGGCTGTGTGACCAATGCCAAGTCAAGCACGGGTGCCTTTGAACATGGGGCTAGGGAAGCTGGCTCTTCTGACCATGGTGGAGGTAGACAGGAGAAACCCTGCTCTAGCTGGCCACAGAGGTGGGAGGTGCCAGGCAAGCAACTTTCCTGATACCATGAGTATGCCAGGGCTGCCTTTGAGATCCATGAAGCAAGTCTTTAGGGTCCTATAATCCTAGACTTTTGGGTCCCTTCCCTTCACAGGCCTGCAAAGAGTGACCCTAAATCTGTCTGCACCTATTGCTCACTGATGACTCAACCCAAAGGCTCCTGGCCCCAGGGTGGACCCCTTTCCTTGATCACTACAGGGCTTGAGTACATTTCACACCTGGCCACCTGCTCAATCAAAGCCTCCTCTTTCTCCAGGTGCAAGGTGTCCAGAAGGCTGACCAGGCGATGGATGATCCACTTCCGTAGCCGGAATATAGCCCGCTCAGGTCTGTGGAGCAAAGACCAACACTGTGGAACACATTCAGAGGTGATCTAAACTAGGAACTGCTTTGCCTCATCTTAACAAGAAACCCAGACCACCTGCTTTGCACATCACTGTGGAAAGACAGAGGCTGTTTTTTTTTTTATTATTATTTTATTTCTTTTTTTGCAGTACCAGGGATTGAACTCGAGACCTTGTACTTGCCAGACAGACACTTATGCTACTGAGCTCTATCCCTGGCCCTGAGGCCATCTCTAAAAGCTAAGATTTCTCCCTTCCCTCCTTCTGTGGCTTGGAGTTCCTGAACTGCATTCCAGCCTCCTTAATCTGGGGGCCCTATCCCTTAGGTCACTCACGAATTCAGTGAAGCATCCTGGGCTTTCTTTTGGTTGGCAGTGCTGAAGTCGACCAAGGAGTCCAGGTTGGGCTGGAGAAACATGCCCTGCAGCCAGGCCACATAGTCTTGCAGGGCCTGGGGACTTAGGAACCGTGTGACACGCCAGAAGGTAGGCATGACAGGGAGACCTTGGTTGGTGATGGACGAGAAAGCCACCAGTACGGACAGCTGCCGCTCAGGGTCATCCTGGCATCCCTCCAGGAAGGTGCCCACGTACTCGCTCATCTCTGGGACAAACTTCGACTGATTTGAGAGCTGCAAGAGTCAGGTGTGCACGAGGGTCACCAGCCCAGGGGAGACACCACCCCCAGCAGCCCCTTCCACTGCAGGTCAAACTCAGTCATAGTGAGGCACAGTGGTACATGTCTGTAAATCTGGAATTTGGGGAAGCTAAGGCAGGAGGACTGCAAGTTTAAACTCTGGGCAACCAAGACCCTATCCTCAAAAACAAAAGGGCGGGAATGGGGCTCAGTGTGAAGGATTTGGGTTCAATTCCTAGCATCACAAAACAAAACACCCAGGCTTGTGGTACCTTCCCTTTTATACAGCTGGGCTGAGCTTAAATTGCAATGGCTTCCTGTTGCTACAGTGCTCCTGCTTGGCATCTAGCCCTCCCTGTCCTCACAGTGGACATGGTAACAGGCTGCTTTACTGGCTATATATATGCAGTGTGGAGTGGGTTTTAAGGGCCTGGTGTGACCATGATCCAAATTCTGTAGTGTCATTCTGAGACTCAAAAACCAGCAGTCCTATGTGCTTACAAGGTAAGTGCCAAGCCCAGGACAACATGTTTTCTCACGGCAACCTGTTTAATTATCCTGACAACCTTCTGCACCAGACCCTGCCATCACTGCTTTACAAATGAAATGAACTGGTGAGAACGGCAAGAGCAAGTGTTCGCTGTGTCCCAGGTGTGACAGTGCTTGCTGGGATGATGATGTCCTAAGTACTGTCACCCCGGCTGAGGAGCAGGGAAATCTGAAGACTGCTGACTACACCTACCTTGGAGGGACCCTGAGGGCAGAGGCCCTGACCTTGCGCTAGTTTCCTTCCAAGGTCAGGGACACTCAGGTACCAGGGTCTGACCCACTTCGTGTTGGCAGGAAGAGCCAGCTGTCTGCCTTATGTGGTCAGTGCCGAATTGCAATACGAGGCCCACCTTAGCCATGACCATGTGCTCCCCGAAGTGTCGGGCCAAGTCTCCTCGCATCACCAGCTGCAGCTGCTCGTTGGACAGCAGAGGCAGGGCTGCTCCCAGCAGGCGGAAACACATGAAGCTGAGGGGGTACAAGAGAGCCTGGTCAAAGCCCCATCCTCTGGGTAGAACCTCAAACAGTGAAGTAGTTCTGCCTCAGACGGCGGTGACAGCAAGAGGGGCAACTACCACACGCACCTGGCTGGCCAGGATGGCTTCGCCAGGAGCCCCTGCTCCACGACCTCCCTCCAGAACTGCAGGAACTTCTTTTCCTTAAGTGCCAGGCGGAGCAGGTCCAGGGCTACAACGGGAAGCTTGTTCTCCTTCTTCACAGAGGCAGCTACCAACCTCAGAACGTTTACCAGTCTGTGGAGACAGAGGCAACTCAGGAAATAGTGCCAAGCAAATGAGTACACAGACATCCACAGGGAGAACCCACCATCCACGCTCTCACACCTGGGAATATTCTCATCCGTGAACAGGTCAACAGATCCCATCCAAGACTCGAGCTTTGCTGGCACCTTTTGCTTGGCCAAGAGGAAGATCTCCAGGTGCTTTGGGGAGCTGAGGACTACGTTCAAGTCAGCCCTGAGGACCTTTGGCAGGATCTCCTCGAACGTGGCCTCTGGGACCTAGCAATGAGAAAAGACTGTGGGAAGGTGGCTCCTACCCAGGACCCTTAGTCTCTATCTCTATGTGGTGAGACCTCTGGGCCTTGCTCTACCTGCTGGGGTTTGGGCACAGTGCCAATCTGAGGTAGGACTGTCACAGTCTACCTTGCTAGGCATTAGAATCAATACAGCTTCAGCGAACCTAGGTTTTTGTTTGAGACAAGGTCTCACTATGTAGAGTAGGCTGGCCTTGAACTCATGGTGATCCTCCTGCTTCAGCCTCCCAAGCACTAGGAAAGCTGGATTTTAACAAGCATCTCACTGAGACTGATTGGCCTTGGGCTGTTCTTTTTTTTTTTTTTTTTAATTTTATTTATTTGTGTGTGTGTGTGTGTGTGGCCAGCTCAGCCCACCAGGGGATGGGGCTGGCTGGCATGTGGTGCTGGGGGATTGAACCGCG